ATGCACCCAGGGTGAGGAACACACTGGGAAGAGAAATTAACTTGGGCTGAGTTTGCCAAAGAGGGCTTCATGGAGGGGCATTTAATCTGGGGTTTAAAGGATAACTAGGAGTTTGCTGGATAAAGAAGGGCATCCTAGGCAGAGTAAGAGCAAGGCTGGGGAGGCCTGATGAGATGTGGGAATGAATCCCAAGTAGCTGTAGTTCCCAATGGGGGTGTGTATGTGTGTGTGTGTGTGTGGCCAAATCATCTAGGGTTTTTTTCAAGCTATTTACCCACCCCCCGAACCTCCAAATACTCTCTCCAAGGGGTGGTCTCTCTGCCAGCCTGAAGATCCCTGTTGCAAAGAGCCTATTTGCTTGTGAGTGAATTAGGTCTCCAGGGACACCGGTGGGAAAAAGACAAGAACCACTAGCTGCAGCCCAGAGTTTGTTGGAGTGGGTGGGGAGAAGGTGGCAGGAGCTGCAGACAAGACAGCTTATAAAAGGTCACGTAAAAGTCTTTGAATTTTATCCTCTGGGCCAATGGAAAGATTCTGAGCAGGGAAAGGACCTGCTCTGAGATGCATTTTAGAATGAACATCCTGGCATGAGGTCTGAAGAATGGGGTGAGACAGAGGCCAGGGAGATGATGGCAGTAGTCTGTCTGTCTGTGTCTGTCTGGGTAAAACACAGGGAGGATTGAAATAGGGCTGAGCTTTTGGGGTGGTTGGAAGGGAGGGACTCAGGAAGTGCAGGCAGAGCTGGGTGATGAGCTGGGTATATGAGTAATGACCAGATGCCTGGAAAGACAGTGATATATAATTAGCTGTGGGTCCTTGGGTACGTCACTTAACCTCTCTGTGCCTCAATTTCCTCATCTGTAAAATGGAGGGAGAAATAACACCTATCTCGTCTCATTTGTGAAAAGTGAATGAGTTCAGTGATGGAAAACCGCAGGAAGAGCACGTGGTACAGAGGACATGCTAAGTGAGCAGCAGCCGTTGTTACTATTATTGTAAAAGTTGGGAGTACTGGGGGTGAGAGAGAGAGGTGACTGAGATGCTGACATCTGGCCAGTGGACGGAGAAGCTCTATCTTCCTCGACATTTTCTCTTTTGATGTTCTTGTCTTTTGTTTGCTATGTTTTGCATAACTTAAAAAATTTTGGGGGGGGAGGGAGGATATAATTAGGTTTTGTTTTATTAATTAATTAATTAATGTATTTATTTAATGGTGGTACTGGGCATTGAACCCAGGACCTTGTGCACGCTAAGCACGTGCTCTGCCACTGAACTATACACTCTCCCCTTGTTTAACTTTTTTTAAAACTTTTTCATTGTAAGATACATATAGCATTAAATTGACCATTTTAACCATTTTAAAATGGGCCATTCAGTGGCATTAAGCAGACTTTCCTAACCAATCCTAATGTGCAGAGAAGTTGTAGGAACAGTAGAAAGATCTCCCTAGAAGCTCCGCCCAGATTCACCGCATTTTCCCTTTTTACTTTATTTTCTCCCTCCCTCCCTCCCTTGATATACCCACATTGTTTCTCCCTAAATTGTTAAAGAATACGTTGAGACAGTTGGGGCCCTTTACTCCTGAATGCTTCAGTGTGCGTTTCCTAAAACCGAGACGTCCTCTGCAGTTAGCAAATTCAGGAATTTAATATTGATATGACAGTATATCTAACAGACCTTTTATATTCAATGATTGCCAATTGTCCATTAAGGCCCCTCACAGCACACCCTTCCCCTATCCCAGGATTCAACCCAGGGTCATCCATTGCATTTAGATGTCACCTCCAAGCCCTCTTCCTAAGGAGGCTTTGCCTCAGTTCTCTGAGCCTCAGGGAGGCAGGTGAGGAAACTCTGCTCCCATGGAGAGTTATTACTCACACCTGTGCATTTGCACACTACGCTCTGTCACCATCCAAGCCAGGGCACTCGATGCCAGCTGCCTGGGTCCCCGTGGTGAGAGAGGAGAGTGATGTACCTTCCGGGTCTGTTTTTCTAAGACTAGCATTAGAATGAGTTTGTATTTGCCTTCCCTGAATCCTCACCTGTGGAAGAGACAGCTCGGGGAGACACCGAGCCCAGGTGGGTGTGAGGGAAAGGACCAGGACCAGCTGGGGCCTGGGGATGCGGGGCTGTGTTTAGTTCAGTACTGGGGGCTTCTGAAGGGGTGAGGCCAGATTTGGGGACCTGCCCCAAGGGTGGTGCTGGCCCACAGTAGGTGCATAAGTGATAGTTTAACATCCCCTTCACCCCCTGCTCATCCACGGTCACACATGCACTGGTGAGGTCACACATGCCCTGCTGAGGTCACACGTGCCCTGCTGAGGTCACACATGCACTGGCAAAATCTAGAGCATGAATGGAATCCAAAGACTTTTGATGAGGAGTCCCCCAGGTCTTTCTACTTTACAACTACGTGCAAAAGAGTAATCCAAGATCTTAACCCTGGCTTTTGAAGGCCTGGCCTTTATCTCATCAAAATCAGAGTGTACATACTTGATGGGGGTTATCAGACAATCAGTGGGGGGGGGTGTGTGCACTGCATCTCAGAATATCTTGGGAGACACTCCTTGAACAAGCTGGCCCCTGTCCCTGCCCCTGTTTCAGGATGACTAGGTTTGAGAGATGTTAAGAGCAGGTGCGTGGCCATGTGAATCAGGCGGGCAGAGGCAGGGAAAAAAGACTGCTGATGGAGCAAGGCCGTTCCAGCTTCTTTTAAGAACGAGATCAGTTGTTTGTTGCCCTCAAATGACCAGAGAGTAATTCTGAGATGGCCCTTAGTAACCCAGGGTCTTGTGGATATTCCTGAAACATCTACCTCGAATCTCCCTTCTTATAAAACTGTTATCTTATTAAACCATTATAGCACGTATTAAGCCATTAAGTCCGTCAGCGAGGAACAACTTGGCTTACTACATGTCCAGCTTTGTGGAATTCACATAAGGCATGTCCCTTGGCTCCAAGGAGCAACCAGGTCTTGTTGGAGAAACTGGGGGAATATCTTGAAAGCAAATACGGGTCCCCTTGTGGGGCCGGGCTGAGGGTTGCTCTGAACAGCAACAGGTCAGTGTGGGCTGATGCAGACAAGGGATGATAGCTCCTTAGGAATGAAAACAAGAGCTAACGTTTATTGAGCTTTCACTACATGCCAGGAGCTAAGCGTTTTTGGTGTACTGCATCATTTAATCCTCACCACTTCCCTAGAATAGGTAAATTCTAGTTTTATCACAATTTCGTAGACAGGGAAACAGAGAAAGCTTACGTATCTGGCACAGTCACACAGTTAGTAGGTGGCAGAGCTGGCATTCGCATCCAATCTGACCCCAGCGCCTTCCCCTTCTCCACTCCCGCCCTCCTAGAGCGGCTCCGCTAATCCTTGTGGGATGAGAGACTTTAGGGAAGCAGAATACCAAGGGGTGGGAGCTCCACAGACCTGGCTTTGGCATCACCGGTTGATTGACTGTAGACAACTTATCAAATGTTTCTAAGCCTCAGCGTCCTTCCCCGGCGAGTGGGGGTGTAGCATCTTCCCGGAGTGGTGTGATTGTGATCATGTGTTTAGAGCACAGAGCAAGGGGTATAATGATTAGAAATGGAAGGCAGGAAGAGGGGCACAGCCTGACCAACACCCAACATCAAGGATGACTGTAAACCAGAAGTGTGGGCTGGAAGGGTCCTGGAGAGGGAGTCGGTCCAGCCGGAACGCGGGATGGCTGTAACAGGTGAGTGGGAAATAAAAGCTGGCTGGGAAGGACGAGGCCAGGGTGTTAAGGACCTTGAAAGCTACCATAAAATGCTCCACAGCTCTTCCAAACAACAGGTGTGTGGATGTTGTTGACATATGGAAATGCGTGTTTGGGAAAAAAAAATAGAATGCAAAATAGTGTGTACAAACTGACAGCTGTGTAAACACATTCTGGTCCAAGCCTGGGGGTCAGAGGGCACCGGCAGTGCTGTCCGTACTCCAGTTCACTGCTTTTCACCTTATTTATTTTTCTGTAAATGCCTAATAAAAACTAAGACTGAACAGGAGGCCAGGCTGAGGGGTTTGATTTTTAACTTCTGGACATCCATAGGGAGTTGTGGCAGATTTCTGTTTGTTCTGTTTTGTTTTTGAATGAGATAAAATTCATGCACAGCCAATTCTCATTATTTACAGTGTATTTGCAAATTCACCTGCGCACTAAAATTTACTCGTAACCCCCCAAATCAATATTCCTGATACTTTGGACATGCACAGAGCAGTGAAAAATTTGAGTCACCTGGTGCCAGCTGAGGTTGAACAAGACACTTTGTTTTAGCTCATACTGTAAATAAGCGTTCTCTTCAGTGCCGTGTTATTCATATTTCTTTGCTTTTTGCTGGTGGTTTTGCTGTTTAAATGGCCCCCAAGCATAGTGCTGGTGTGCTGTCTGACATCCCTAAGTGGAGGAGGCTAGGGGGTGCCTTACAGAGAAAATACGTGCCTTAGGTAAGCTTCGAAGATGTGAGTTATGGTGCTGATGGATGAGTTCAATGTCAGTGAGTCAACAGTAGGTTATTAAGTAAGGTGTCTTTAAACAGAAACACGCATAAAGCAGTTATGTACTGATCAGCTGATGGAAGTGCTGTAAACAAGTTTTACAGGAACCTAACGCTGTATTTCCCTTGGGCATTGATTCAGTTTTTGCAAAATCTGTTCACGGCAACTTTACAGACCCTAACTACCACGAATAACAAGACTCGACTGTGTCATAAAATTCACCCTTTTAAATGAGCCCTTTTATGGCTGAGAGGTATAGTTCAGTGGTAGGGTATGTGTTTAGCATGTGCAGGATCCTAGGTTTAACCCCCAGCACCTTCATGAAAAACAAAAATGAAAAAAAGTAGCCCTTTTATATTTTAGTATAAAATGCAATCATCACCACCACTGCAGATTCTCCAGGAGTAAAACGGCTTCATGGGGCAGCGATTTATGAACGGTCTGTCTTTCCTGGTCCCCTAATTGTTCTGCTCTCTTTCAGGACGCCCAGGAGAACCATGGACTGGCTGTGCCCACCCCCTCTGTCCCAGACAGCTTTGCAGACAAACAAGGTAAGAGGACGCCAGGCTTGGTGCTTGTCTTTCTTTTCTTCCTCCTTAAGCCCAAGCATCTGGCCCCCTCCACGGCTGGTGGTCAGGTGGGAGTCCTCTGGCCTCCTGGCTGCTGGCTGCAGCCAGTGGGAGTTGAGAGCCAGGGTGGAGGCCCAGTGGAGGAGGGACTGTGAGGGCCTGGGGCCAGAGCAGGAACAAGGGTGGCGGGATTGGTAGAAAGAACCCCAGAGTCAGGCAGACCTGGCTTTGAATCCCAGCTCCCTGCACTTAGCTTTGCTCCCTGGGGCAAATCACTTAACCCCCTTTACCTGCGTATCTTCAAACGCACCAAGGGCAAGACAATCTCAGTTCTGGAGAAGTGAATGAAGTACTGGATGGGATGTAAGTCACTTCTTGTCATACAGCTTCTCAAAACCCGCCAATGACTTCCCCTGTCCCCCAATGAGAAGGTTCTTGCCAGGACCGCCAGAATCTGGCCTCACCTGGCCTCATTACCCGCTCACCATTCTGGCCATCCAGTCTCCTTCAACCTCCCACAGGTTTCCACCCCTGCATCTGCCCAGACTGCTGTCCCCTGCCCGTGTGCACGGCTCTCTTCCTCCCTCCCTCACTCAGCCGGGGCTCCCCTGACCACCCTATTCAAATCGCACCCCCAGCACCTCTCCTGGGTTTTCCCCCATATTACTCATCAGCCAATGTGGTAATAATTTACTCAATGTATTATGTTCTTGTCCGTCTCATTGTCCCATTAAAACACAACCTCTAGGAGGGCCAATATTTTGACTATTTTTTGGTTTGTTATTTACCGCTGTATCTCAGCTCCTAATGCGTGGGTGCTCAATGGATGTTGGTTTCCCCCTCCGTCTCCCTACCCTTTGGTCTTTGTTTTGAAGTCAGCTGGCAGAAGCCCTTCAGAGCTGCATAGTCCCGGGTTTGTTCTGCTCTGGGCTAGAAACTGAGAGGAGGGGAGGCGATGGAGGGCACCCCTGAGAGAGAAGGGCCCAGTGCATCCTGGCACTCTGCAGACTCTAGGGAGGGGGACTGGGACTGGGGCCAAGCAGGGGGATGTGAGCTGCTGGGGTCCGGGTCATCCAGGACCTCTTTCTACACTGCCTTGTCCATCCCATAGTCCAGAATCTGTTCCAGAAGTTCTTTGTGAGGCAGAAAGCTGGGTTGTTGGTAGATTCAGGCCCTTTGGAAAGCAGGAGTTGCTCATGCAAATTTCTCCCTCCCAAACTTTTACCCAAACTTCCTCACTCAGCAGGCCTCCAGACCTCTGCCCACAACAGTCCATAACTTTCTGTCTCCCTCCCACTTTCTCTGTCTGTCTTACACAGTCTGAAAAGTTAAGTCAAAGTGGTTACCACTCATTAAGTGCTTAATATGGGCCTAGTACCGTGATAAGCTCTTTGAATTCTCTTCCTTAATCCTCACAACAGGTTTATGAGGTAAGTACTGACGTTACTCCCATTTAACAGATGATGAAACTGAAGCTCAGCAAGGTTAAATTAATTAAATGTCCAACGTCACACATCTAGTAAGTGGCAGAGCTAGGATTTGAACCCTGGCCTTTCTGGCTTTGTAGCAGCCAAGGTGCTTGTAAGGAACAAACAGTGCACTCAAGGGGCTAACTGAAGAGACTTAGCAAAGGGATTATATGCAGGGCTGTGAACAGAGCAGAGAAGGGTGGGTGTGACCCTCGGGAGCAGATGGAGGAGATTCAGTCCAGTCTCAGAGGCTGTGCCATGGACAGGCAGGGCCCCCTCCCTAGAAGGAATAGGGTCCTTCTCATGACTGCTCCTCACTCGGTGTTCAAAAGGAAAGGCAGGAAACCAGCTGGCTACTCTCTCAGGAGCCCACCTCGCCCTGCCCTGGGCACTCAGAGATCCTCAAGCCTGTTCTGCCTACTCGCCCTCCTCATCTCTGCCTCTCCCTTCTTCCAGGCGCCAGCATACTTGTCAACGGCAACCTCCGACTCTACAGCTCTGTGGGGGACCTAAGGCCTGGGCACTATGGCCAGGATGCCTTCATCCCTCCACCTCCCCCAGGCCCTGCCCCACCGCCACCCCTATACACATCACAACCTCAGGGGGAGTCCTCACCACCACCCCCACCTTCTGTAGCTCCCCACCCCGCCCAGCACAGCCCCACCTCTGTCCCCAGTATTGGGGGCCCTGTCCCCTCCAACCACCCTTTCCCCCCCCTCCACACCCACCCCTCCTGACTTCATTCCCCCTGCCCCACCCTTGGCTGTTCAAGCCCCACCACCGCCCCTTTTCCCAGCCCCAGTGCCCCCAGCTCCCGTGTCTCCTCATACACTGGGGACACACCTCTTTCCCACTGGGGGTGTCACCAAGTGGAAATCAGAGGTTGCGCTAAATGGCAGGCAGCCTGAGGTCCCCAGAAGCAGCCCCCCCAGGAGCCCGGCTGAGCCAAAGGGGAGCCTCCTGGGACCTCAACCGGAGTCCCACCTCACCTTCCCCCGCTCACTCAAGGTGCCTCCCCCGACCCCAGTCAGGACTTCGTCCATCTCCACTCAGGAAGCGCAAGGGGCTCTTCCCAAGGAAGAGGGGGCCACCAAGAAGCCCCCCAGTCGACTCCCACTGCCTCCCAGCTTTCACATCCGCCCCGTGTCCCAGGTCTACCTGGACAGGGCTGCTGAGCCAGACCACCCCGAGGGGCCTGGGGCTGCGGCACCAGCCAGCCCCAGGCTGGGCCAGTCCCAGGCTGGGACAAATGTACAAGCTGAGACCCCACCTCCAGCCCCTCCCCTGCCCCCTCCTCCACCCCCACTCCCTCCCCCAGCACCCCCTCTCCCCCCTGCTGCCCCTCTTTTGCCACCTGCTGAGAAGGCAGCCCCTCCACCTGCTGGGTTGATGAAAAGCCCCAAGTCCAGCTCTCCTGCTCCCAAACCCAAACCTGACCCCCCAAGTCTGGAGGACACAGCCTCTTCAGAGTCTGTGGACTGGCGGGATCCCAGCCAGATGGAAAAGCTGCGGAATGAGCTGTCAGCCTATCTCTCTGGCTGCAGGAGAGAGGACCGATGCGTCAGTCACAGACCAGGCCCAACCACAGCCTCTCAGGGAAAGGAAAGCAAGAAGGGCCTCAGACTGCCAGAGAAGGAGGCCCCCACAAGCCTACCAGAGAAGGTGACCCCCCCAAGCCTGCCACAGAAGGTGACCCCCCCAGGCCTGCCACGGAAGGAGGCCCCGCAAGCCTGCCACAGAAGGTGACCCCCCCAAGCCTGCCACAGAAGGTGACCCCCCCAGGCCTGCCACGGAAGGAGGCCCCCCCAAGCCTGCCACAGAAGGAGGTTCCCCTAAGTGTTCCTCAGGAGAGTCCCTGCAGCCTGCCAGAGAGAGAGGCTGCCACTGGCCTGAGCCTCCCCCCTGTGGACTACATCCCCCAAGACTCGCCAACTCCCAGCGTCCGGCAGATCAGGAATAAGCTGGAGGCCAGGTTTTCCTTATCCGCAGAGAAGGAAGCCAAGCCCAGCACAGGGTCGCTGCCTCCCAAGCCACGGCTAGAAGGGGTAAGAATCTTTGAAAACAGGGCTGAAAATGGCAAATTCTCCAAGCCTGTAGCCCAGAATCCGCCAGCTCCATCCACCACTCCTCTGCCAACCACGCCACGCCAATCCAAGGCCATGCCTGGACCAGCCACACCACCCAAGGCCACACCTGAGCCCATCATACCATCCTTGGCCACAACTATGCCCACCACATCATCCCAACTGACAGCAGAGAAGAACTTAGTCCCAGCTGGGCAGGGGGAGAAGCCAGAAGGCCAAGGACTTGCAGTGCCCTCCAAACCAGAGACAGAAGGGCGCTCCTCAGAGGCCAGTAAGCCTCCTACACAGGAAGCCCTCTCATCTCCAGCCCTCCCCACAAAGGTATCTCCTAGCCGAGAAGAGGTGACATTTCTCTACAAGCCCCATCGCAGCCAGAACAGCCCTGGCAGAGAGGTGGCCGTGGTGATGCCCACCCTGTCCAAGAGGAGAGGCTGCAGGCTCAGGGGAGCCTGTGGAGGTGAAGGAGCCCCAGGGGCTGCCAGCCAAACCCCAAGCCTCAGCCCAGCCTGCTGATCAACTCCTCAGGCACCCCGTGACAGGGGAGGTGGCGGAGCAGGGCTCCCCGATGGCCCTACTCCTTGCAGCCCGGCAGAGGGCACAGAAGGGGAGGCCCAGACGAATTGCCCTGGGCCGGTCCTCCCTGCCAGGGAGTCTCCGAGTCCATAGCCAGCCCGAGGCAGGCTCTGAAGTCATCTACAGCCATGGCCAGCCCAACTCCTTCACTGTGGTCCCCAAGATCTCCAAGGAGACTGAGGACCCCCAGCTAACCTCGCCAGGACAGCCCAAGGTACCCAGTCGGTGGAAGCCCCAGCCCAGCAGAGACCCAGAGGGCACTGCGCCCAGCCGCGGGCACAGCTGGACAAAGGCGGAGCCCCAGGCCCCTGCAGCCTGCGAAAGACCAGCGCTCTCCAACCTCCCCCAGGGCCGCCAGCCTCCCAAGTCCTTCTCTTCCCCTCCTTCTCCTTCCCGCAAGAGGGAGGAGGAGGAGGAGTTCAACTTCGAGGTCATCCCACCGCCGCCAGAGTTCAGCAATGACCCCGAGCCCCAGGCCCTCCAATATGTGGGGCGCCGGGGCTCCCCTCCCCGGAACAACTTCCCAGACTCGGGGCCGCCCCTAGACGCGGGCCCTCCTCGCGGCTTCTCGCGCTTTCCCGCGGGTGCGGACCCCGGCGGCGGGGGCCTGGAGCGCTTCTCGCACGGGGGCCGTTCGCTCATCAAGAAGCGCCTGTACGTCGGGGGAGCCCCACCGCAGCTCCGGGCTGCCCCGCGGCGGTACCGGCTCCCCCAACTGCTTCGGGCCGCCTCCCGGATGCCCGGAGACGCGGCGCGTCACCTCGGCGGGCCGCACGCCCCTCGGCGGCCTGCACCCGCGGAATATGTCCCTGGAGGGCGCCGTCCGCGGGGAGGCCAAGTTCAAAGCGCCCGGCGGCGACTGCGGCTGCGCACCGGCTACCGGCAGGTGAGCCGCGGGCGGGGACGATGGCGGAAGCCTGGGCGGGGAAGCCAGGTGAGATAGGGGCCCTGCCCTGGAACACAGGGGAGCTGGCCAGGCCGCGGCCGTCAGGTGGGGACATTTGGTTATCTCCCCTCTGGCTCAGGGCAGAGAGAAGGGGGAGGGAGGCGCATGTCACCTGGAGAGGGCGCTGTTGGCGATTCCTTTACCTGCTTCCTTCCTTAACTCCCCTTATCGCCTTTGTTTTCTCTTTCCCCCACCTCCCGCTTTCCCCACCAGCTCCCTCTTCTCTCTTCTCTCTCCCTCCGCCTGGAATCCCAGTGTTTTCAAGCTAAGTGTGGGGTGGGGGGAGATCTGAGTGGTCCTTGGGTGCTGGGATTTCCCAACACAGAGATGTGTCGAGAGCCACGCTAGGAGTTCTGAGCAGAAGGCAAGTTCTCCGTGGCTAGCAGGGCCTAGACAGGAAGGAAGCCGTGTGTCTGATGACAGTACTGGTGGACTGGGGTCCCACTCGGGTTGATAAGCCCCGGGCTTGTGGGGCAGACCCACAGCACTGAACCACATCCTTCCTCTTGTGCCCAGGGGGAGATGGAGAGGTGTTGGTTAACCAGCTGCAGATATTAATTTCATCTCCCCCCTCACCCAGGTCTCCCCACGGCAACGCCCACTACGGAAGCTCTATCAACACATTCACCGTGAGGCCTGGGACCCGCCATCCCATCTCCTATGCCTACTCGGGGGCCCATCGGAAGGCCCCATCCTGAGCCCAGGGTTTTCTTGGTTCTACTCTGAAGGGTTGGATCTGGGCACTTGTTTTTGTGGGGGTGGGAGGGACACAGCAGGTGTTAGGTAGCCTCACTCACAGAGGAGTCTTTGTTTCCCAAAGACAGACAGACGACGAGTGAAGTTGTGGCCCAGGAAGATCAAGGTTGGACTACTGTTTCCCAAAGCACTAGTGTGGCTGTGGACTGTGCAGATGGGGGTGAGAGAGGGAAAGAAGGAAGAGAGGAGGAACCTTTAAGGACCCGGGGCCCAAATTTTCGCTGTCTGGTACTATTTGCTTTAGCAAGGCTTATTTAAAGCAGTTTTCCAAGCAGACCTACTGAGCAGGTTCTAAAAGCAAGGGCTGGGGCACTTACTGAATGGGAGCCCATCAGGATGGCTGTGATCGCCACTCAGGCCCTCATGAAGGGCCGAGGCCCAGCCCAGTCCTGGCGAGGGTGTAGGGTGCTACAGGTTCATCTCCTTATCCTCTGTCCACCAGCTGCCACTCTAAGAATGGCACCTGGAATTCCTAGCATAGCCACATTGAGGTGGGACCAGGAATCTGCATGCATAACACATAGTGAAGGTACTGGAGCAAAGTGCTTTGTATTGACCAAGGGTGGGGATGGGAGGCTTTTTGGTTCATTTCTCTCTGGCCCTTAGCTACAGGAAGGCCTAGAGAGAGAAGGCTTTGGCAAGTTTAGGATGGAAGACAGGATTAAAGCTTGCTTTTCTACTCAGACCCAGGCAGCCATGATTTGGGGGATGGGCCCAAGGAGCCAGGAAGCCTGGGGCTTAACACCAAAGGCCTCACATGGTCAGGTGGCATATGGGATTTGGAGGGGCACTGTTCCTAGTCACCCCTCCCAATCCCAATACTACAGGCCCCCAACATTATCAAGGCCTTAAAATGTGTCACCAAGATGCTGGAAGGCCTTGGAGAGTGGGAGGTGACAGAGATCGAACAGGTCTGAGAGGACTTTGCTGTCAGTGGGGAACGTGACTTGGAAAGTGAAGAGTGGCAAGACTGGGCCAGTTCGGAGCGGGGGAGCCCTAGCAGTAGGGTGACCATTTCATACTTTGCTTAGGAAGTCTGGGTTTCTACCTATTTTCCAGTGAATTGGAACCCCTTCCACTTTCAGAAGTCTTGGTTTGAATGATGTATTGTCACCAAACATATCAAGATTGGTTGATCTTCCGTCTTCAGGTCTTGGGCTGAATTCCTGGGATCAGGCCAAGGCAGGCTGCCTGGGTAAGGAGGAAGGGGGGTGCCCAGCTCAGAGGAGCAGGCCAGGAGCAGCAGCCAGGAAGCAGTTCCCTTGGGGGCGTGATGTTGGACCTTTGTGACCTGTGCTGACCAGCCAAGGTACTGGGGTGCAGGGACAGTGGATGAGCCACTTGAGGGAAAGAGTGAGGGGGTGGGCAGGTGCCCTGACGGGGCAGGATCTGGTTACTGGTGTTTGAGGCAAACCTCACCCCAGTGCCAGCACTGGCTCTATATATATGTATGTATTTTCCCTGTACAATGTTTTATAAAAGAGTTCACTAATTTATCTGCTGTGTTATGGCTGGAAGGGTGGGTTGTGGATTCCCGGCTGCATTTTGCTCTGGGGTGGGCGGGGAAGGACCGATTCTCCCTTGGCTTGGGAAATAAATAGGCCACTTTGGAACTGGCCTCCAGCTCTGTGGCTATGGATTGCTGATTGGGAGCTACTGGGGTGTGATGAGAGGTGGGAGAGCTCAGCTGGGGAGGGCTGAGCGCAGGGTGCTGGCTGAACTGGTGAGCCATTATACTGGGCCCAACTCTCTTTTCTGACACTTAAGTTTTCTCATTCTCCAAATCCTTCAAGGGGAAGGAGCAGAGCTGAAGTGGGGTGATAAACTGTGCCCTTAAGCAAGTCTCTGACTCTCTGAATCTCAGTTTCTTCTGTACATTGGCCCGATAACCTACCTCATAAGGCTGTTGTGAAGACGAGAGACAGTCATGCATTCATTTAACAAGGATTCGAGTGGCTACCAGATGGCAGGCACTGTGCTTAGCATGGATATCCAGTGATCAGCACACTACACAACCCCTGCCCATGGAAGACTGTGGGCTAGTGGAGGAGAGAAGATGAAAGAACACACGGAAACATCCTGTATTATAATAAGTGGTAGGAAGGGAAGGAACAGGAAGCATGAAAGTAACTGGAGGGCTGGGGAGAGGAGTGGATTCACTTTGACTGGCTGGTCAAGGAGCACCTCTTGAAGTGGTGACATTTAGGCCAATTGAGTCCAGACATCCAACACATGTCTGGTACTCAGTAGCTGCTCAAGAAACTGCATCTTTGGGTGATGACTACTTTACATTTGCATGTGGCCCTTCCTGGTTTTCCATAAAGCTTTGCCATGGTATCTTTAACTTTTCCAGAAGAGGACACTGAAGGCCAGAGGTCATCTCAAGACAGTGTCAGAGGGAGTGCTGTGTTTCCTCCTGTGTCTGCGCCTTTTGTGGGGGGGTTGTTGGAAAAGGGAGGTGACTCATTCATTCAGCAACCTGTGCTCCCAGGAAGGGCCTCCCCTCTCCCATCATGGGGCTCCCTTGTTCTCCTGTCTCTCGCCGTTCCCCGCCCTCTATTGCAAGGCCCTCATCTGGTAACAGTGAGGACAGGACTCCGACTCCCAGTAGGACGTGGGGCCCTGCCTCTGGCTGCTCTCGCCTCGCCTGACATGGAGGGGGGCAGTGGGGATAGTGGAGGGTTGGGGGATCAGGGCCCCATGTCTGGCTCTGCCTCTGGCAAGCTCTGTGACCTTGGGTCTCGGCTAGCTCACCTCAAAAGTGACAAGGATGGACTTGTGCTGTATGTGGGTCTTAAACTTTGTGGGTCCCAGACTTCTAAAAGCTGCTGAGAGCTGTGGCTCCTAACCCCAGAAAGATGCCCCCAGCTGCGTTTTTACACATAATTTCAGGCACTCCGCAGATCCCCCCAGACTGGGCTCCGTGGACTCCACACTGAGCGCTCCTGATGCAACGGTGGTCAGGGGAACCATCCACCCACACTTGCTTAACTTTAACAGTTTTGAAAGTGCATTCCTTCCCTCGCTGACTCACAGGAGTCCTCTCGTGTGTTGGCCTCGTAATACAATTCCACGTTGTTGAGACAGGGAAGGCTCCAGGAGGAAAACTGAATTGCTCTGAAGAGCCCACCTGATTCCAAATGGTTTATCTGCGTTCTCACAGCTGCTCCCTTCTGGCTGTATCCATTCTCGCCCACTCACCCCTCTCCAATCATACCGCCCCCAAACTTTCTACCCTCCTGTCAGAGGAGGGATGGGGGAGTGCCTGGGGAGGGAAAAGCTGATAGAAAAAGTTTGTGGATGCAGGTGGCACAGGTGTTCCTGAATCAGGCTAGTCCCACCTTGGTTTCTGGCACCACCTCACTGCTCCCTGGACGCAACCCAAACCCCTGTGGCCAGAGCCCCACCTCTCTGGTGAGGCCCAGTCCAGCCTAAAGCAGCAGCAGGGGCCAGGCTTGAGGGCCTGCAGTCAGCAATGCTGGCAGAGCCCTGTTCTCCCCATCCGAGAGGCTTCCTCCTGCTCCTGCTGCAGGAAACTGCCAGCTAGAGGGACCTTCCACCTGGGAGATGTGAGAGAGAGGCTTCCTCCGTGCTGAGCTGTCAGGCAGGCCTGCCCCTGCCTGCTTGCCCCACCACCTGTCTACCCCTGGCAGCCCTGGCCGCTTTCATCCCTGCAGCTCAAAGGCGATGCTGGCTTCCCATCATTAGTCAGCTGCCCCGGATTGGTGGCCAGTGATTCCGCACAGAGGAGCTGGGCCTCCTCCCTCCGCAGCCCCAGGGAAGGCGGGCTGCTGCAGACTTTCTGCTGGGGCCTCTGGGGATGTTTCTGGCCAGGAAGGTGAGAGAAGGGGCGCTTCTGGAAGGCGGTGGAGGCCAAGGCAATGCACTGGATTTACCTGGATGATCCTGAGTCCTCTGCCCGATTCTCAGAGCCCTGGATGCTTGGTTAACACTTGGCACAGATGAGCGACTCCTCCCTCCCTCCCCTCCTTGAGAGCTGGGCTCAGCTTCTCCAGAACGTGCTCTGATCGCCTCCTGTCTTCCAGGCTGGCTCTCTCCATACGGGTGTCCCGGCACCCTGTCCTCGCCCCCAGTCTGACTCCTCTCTAGTTTCCTTTTCAGGAGACAGTTTCACCCCCACCTCACCTGCACTGAGTTCCCCATTTCTAAGTTGAATGTGCCCCCAGCCATGGCCATGTGGGTGCCCGGCCCACCACTTCAATTCCGCCTCTCCAAGGGGGGTTACTCTTCCCTTACTTCCTTCTCACACCATTATGAGACGAGAGCAGCCAGACCCAGGGCCTCACTACTTCTGCCCCACTGCTTCAAGCTGACTCACTCTGCAAGGGCTGGCCTTAAGTCAGAGCTCCTGCAGGCAGCCTTCCCCAGCCCTGTACTGCTCCGAGACCCCTCCATCCTCCACAGCTCTGCACCCGCTTCCCGTGGCTGGCTCTTCCTCATCCTTTAGGCCCAGCCGTACATCTCCCATCCCCTTGGCCATACCAGCTCCTGTGAAAGCCCCCTGGTCCCCCTCACATGTGTTACTTGCTCCACATCTCCCTCCCCCAGCAGCTTGGAAGCTCCACAATGCAAGGATGGCCTGTCCTATGCATCACACTCTCCCCACTATCTAGTGCTGCTCCTGACACCAGAAGAAACGAACCTGTGTTTGTTGAATGACTACATGTCAGTATTTAATCAAATTCTGTCAAGCACTATTTAGGTTCCTTCATGGCAAAAGCTGCATCTCCCATGGACTCGTGGCCACATAACCCTCTTGTTTCTAATGCTGAGATTCCTTTGCTGCACAGTTATGGTTTTTGGGATGGGCCTCTCGGGTTTCATCATCAAGGTGTCAGGATGCCTTGAAGCAGCTCCTGCCTGGTAGGCTGAGACACAAGGCCCTCTAGGTGGAAGCACGAAGAGCCGGGAAGTGATGGTGCCGGGTGAGGTCGATCTGGTCTTTAAAAAGGGCTAGGGCGTGGGGGCCTTGGGCAGCCCGCATATCGGGTCAGGGCTGCCTGGAGCTGCCAGTGCCAACCTGCCCAACAACTCTGCGTTTGCTCCCCTTCTGACCTCCTTCCACCCTCTGTACCGTGACTGGGTGCTCCAGGACCGCGGGGAATGTTTCTGCCAAACGTGGAGAAGACAATGAGAAGAAACAGCACCCCCGGGGGCCAGGGTGGCAGAAGCCAGTCAGGACCAACCTGTCCTGTCCTGATCACTGTCCTCCCCCCACCTGGAGAGCCCTTCCCTCAGGAAGAAGGCTTACAGCTCTCAGGTTTGGGGTTTTTTTTCCCATTAAACAGTGAGCATCCCGCATAGGGACCTACGCGGGGAGTGGGGGGGGGGGGACCCAACATCATTATCCCTGGTGCTGCATGGGACGCTCCCTTCTCATTCTTTTTTTTTTTAAGAACATTTCAATCTTTTCTTAAAAAAATTTTTAATGTCTATCTTCTTTTTTTTTCTTCCTTTTTTTGGGGGGAGGAGGTAATCTATTTAATTAATTAATTTATTTTTAGAGGTGGTGCCGGGGTCAAACCCAGGACCTTGTGCATGCTAAGCACGGCTCTACCCCTTGAGCTATACCCTACCCCACCTCCCTTCTCATTCTTGAAAGCTGTCTTTCTAAAATCTTGTCTTCCACAGGTGAGTCTTTGGACTCCTTTCATTTTCTCACTGCAGAGGGCTATCCCCCGCCACTTCTTGTCACTGTCATTTTCTGAGCTACTCAAAGAGGGTTTGATAAGCCTCTGCTTCCTCTCTCTCCCCCTCCCTCCCTCCCCGACCTGTGATCTTCCTGCCTTTTGGCTCAAAACTTTCCAGCAATATGTAAGGTAGCACGAAGCTCTATCAATTCAATTCCACAGTGCTAGTGGGTGCTAGTCGTACAAGGCAAGGGGCCAGGCAAGAGGCTCAGAGTCCAGTGAAGGACACACACGCATACACATAACTGGAATATAAAGCAGGAGATTTCAAAGTTCTCCCATCCAGGTGAGCTGGGTGGTCAAATAGAGCAGGTGACCACATGGGACGCACCGTTGGCCTAGCTCTGTGGGTGGCCCCTCTTGCTGGCCTGTGACCAGGTCATCAGGGCTGCCCTAGTCCTGTGACCCGGGTGGGAGCGCGTGCATGAGAGGGCAGAGGAAGGAGGGCCGCCGTCTGTTGTCTTGTTTTCCCTACAGCGTTGGACGCTCAAACCCTTGGTAAAACATACCTGTTATTGCTGACACAAACACAATGCTATTGTCTTTGGTGACCTCTCTTGGCCACTTAAAGCTGCCCTTGACATTCACTTTAACCTGATTTCTTTGGGGAGAGTGAAGGGGAGTGAGGAGAGGACATCTGTGTCACTTAGTGTTGAGCACTGAGGTCCTTGTCCCATGAGTCCAGCCTGAGTCCCTGTGTGTGAACCTTGTGTGCACGCAAGGCTGGCTCTAACCAGCAGGCGGCGCTCTGCTCACAGGTGCCTGACTTCAAGCCCAGGAGTTCAGGGTCGGATTCTGCTGAGATTGAGGGGTCCTCTTAGAATCCAGGCACGGAGCTAAGTGCTGCCCCGTGTGCCAGTATTTCTCAAACTTAAGTGTGCATCAGAAACACTAGAGGACTTGCTAAAACACGGATTCCTGGGTCTCATTCTCAGAGCTCCTGATTCAGTGAGTTTTTGGTAGGGCCTAAGAATTCACATTTCCAACAAGGTCCCAGATGGGGCTGCCAGGCCTGATGACCCAAGGACCGCACTTTGAGGATCGCCGCTGTGCAGTACCCCCACTTAATCATCCCACCCTTCTCTGGGCAGGCAGCGTCCAGTTACCAGTAAAAAAACTAAATTCCTAACAGGCCCAGTGACCTTGCCTCGGCCACACAGCTGGAGAGTGGTGAAGACCCTCACCTCAGGGTGCCGTGGCTGGGGTGGGGGTGCTAGCATCCTTCCTGGTTCCAGCAAGGGCAGAAGGAAGAGACAGCAGGGTAGGGATGAGCAGAGTACTGAAAGGAGGCATGAGGCACTGCTGGGCTGGGAGTAATCCCCGGGTGTCCACAGCATTCTAAAAGCACTTTTGCTTTTACTGAAATCTCACCTGGTGATACTGGCCAATGGACACTCGGACCATGGATGCCCTACTGCCGCCCTGACCACCTCCCTTTCCAGCACTGAAGCTCTGGCTCCCCCAGCGGCTGGGAGGGTGCTGTGGCTGACTGCTTTCAGCTGAGGCCCACCCTGGACTGTCATTTCCATGGAACTGCCCTTTCCACGAGAGCGCCACCTCATCCAAGGTCATGCCTGC